GCCGCCGCCGCCAGCCCCGGACGGCCAGCCCCCGGACCGTAGAGTTTCTCGTGCTTTGGTTGCTCCGACCACGCCCGCCACCGACAGCAAGGCGGGCAGCGAGAACCAGGCGGCCGGCGGGGCCCGTGGAGGAGTGCCTGCCGAAGCGGGCGGGGGCGAAATGGCCCGGCCCGCAGCCTCCGAGTCTGGCCTGAGCCTGCTCTGTAAAGTCACCTTCAAGTCGGGACCCCCGCTGCCCCCTGCGGCTGCCCCGGGTTCCTTAGGGGCCAAAGCCTCGCTCGGGGCTGGCGGAGGGGGAGGACTCTTCTCGGCCACCTCGGGCGCCATCTCTTACGCTGAGGTCCTGAAGCAGGGGGCCCTGGCTCCTGCGACCACTCGGCCCTCGGGAGAGGCCCCTCGGGGGTCTCAAGAAGCGGAGGGTGGCGATGGAGACGGCGAGGCGTGTTCTCGTCTGCCTTCAGCGCCTGTGACCCACTGCCGGACCCTACCACCGCCACCTTATGCCACTCTCCCGAGTTCCAAACCCAAATTCGACTGGATGAGCCCGCCGGATGGCTCCGAACGCCACTTCGGCTTCAATGCGACCGGTGGAGGTGTGGGGCCGCCCCGACGGCGTGCGACGGCACTCTCGGGGCCCTGGGGCTCCCAGCCACCGCCGCCGCCTCCGTTGCCTCCGCTGCCCGCGCCGCCGCTGGGGCAGACACAGCCGGCTCCCGGGCCGCGCAAACCAGCACCTGCGCTGCTGGCGCCGCCTATGTTCATCTTCCCCGCGCCCACCAATGGCGAGCCCCGGCGCCCTGGGCTGGCTGGCCTGCAGGAGGTGCGGCCGCCACCTACGCCGCCGCCCACGCCGCCGCCGCCACCCACACCGCAGCCGGCGCTCCAGCCAACACCGCCGCCAGCGGCAGTCCTGCCCGCCCCAAGCCCAGGCCTCGTGGAACCTGCCCAAGCGCCCCACCAGGCCCCTACTCCATCCCCTGCCTTGACCGCAGACCAGGTTCCGACCCGGGCCCTGACCCCGGCCCCAGCCTCGGCTCCCTCCCCCGCCCCAGCTCCCACCATAGCAGAACCATCGCTTCCAGTGCTGGCGCCCATGCCCATCAAGACTCGAACGCGCAGGAGCAAAGGTCCCCGAGCAGCCCGGGGTGCGACCCGGGATGATGGCGCGCCTGGAGACGGTCCTCGCGCACGCATCCTGGTCAACGCGAATGACGGCACGGCGGATGGCGGCAGCGGGGCCCCTGCAGCTGGGGCGGCTACCTCGGGTGCAGCGCGCCACTGGCCCCCCTTCCAAGTGCTGAACTCTTGTCCCTGCAAATGTTACTGCCGGCACCAGCCACGCCATCGCCGCCTGCCTCGGAATGTGTCTGCCTGGTGAGCGAGGCACAGGGGCAACGGGAGGGCATGCCCCTCCCCACTAGCCATCCCCGACATCCTGACTCCACGCTGCCGCCAACCCTTCCTTGGTGGCATTTCACGATTAACAGAGGTATCCTCAGGAGCCTGGACTCCTGCTGACCGCTGCCGCGTGAGGGGGTTACTTTGTCCCTGCCTTTTGGTGCCCAGACTCTCATGCTGACTCCTGACTTTATTTAACCCTTGAGAGTTACCATGGAAGCCAGGTCCCTGAGGGCGCCAGAAGGGGCCACATCCCAAGCTCCTGGGGAAGAGGAAGGAAACTTCCTGAAGCAAATGGAAGAAAACGCAGGCCCCCACTTTGCCCTGCACCGTCCCTGCCTTTAGCAACTCTGACCAGCAGAGGGCAGTAGTGTGGCAGACCCTGGTGCAGCACTGAATCCCTTACCACCATGGTGTCTGGGCCTAACACCATGGACACACACACACACACACACACGCACCTGGGGTTCCAGGGCTTCTACTGCCAACCCTCCCCGGTACCCTCTCCCAAGATTCAGGGGATAGAGCCCTATGCTAACTAACCTACCTTTGGGATACTGAGACAGGCCCTTCCAGAAGCTTCCTGATGCTGATGGGGAAACGGAAGTAGTGATGGGGTCTGTCTCTTCCCCCTAGGCTGAGCACGCCCACCAACCACCTGAGAGAACCGCCTTGGGTGGCCACCATCAAGCTGGCCGGCGCCCTGGTAGCAGGACTGGAGCACTACGACCTGCAAGCCACTCACTCCAAATGAAGGCTCCCCCTCCCCAGGAATAAAACCACCCACTCAATGACAGCCTGCAGTCAGTCACAGGTTGGGGGCCGGCAAAGTCCACAGACAGCCTGGGCCTGCAGCAACCGCATCTAAGGTCCCCAACCCCATTTCTGAGCTGACCTGGTTGGTGCCCAGCTCGGAGGCTCAGTAGGCCAGTTTCTCCCCACAGACTGGACAACTCTTGAAAGTCCCATGTGCACAAGTGGCTCACACAGATTTGAACTCTGTACAGAGGGCTTGAGGGCAGGGCAGAGGCTGGGGCGGGGGCAGGCTTGGAGGTACAGAGGGAGAGCAAACACTCAGGTGGGATGGGAAGCAGGAAGCCCAAGCCTTTTCTTCCCAGAGGTCTTAAGTAGGTGGCTCACAGATGGGTTTCACTACTGTGTCCTTTTTAAAAACTCATTTAATCTATAGCCAACATTTTAGAAAGTGGGGCAGTTCGTGTTCCTCTGGTGCCGCCTCGGCCCCCCCCCCCAGTCCAGCAACACAGCTGATGACACAGCCCCTATACCCGCAGAGCCAGTGCACTCTGGTGTCCACCCCCGCACCCCTATACACACTTGCAGGTATTCATCACCTGTTGTTGAACCCCTGGGGGAATGGCCACTGAACAGCAGCTGGGCCTGTGGAAGTGTATCATCAGGGGGCACCTAAAGACCCCACATCTGCCAAGTCCCTCGAAGTGCCCACCTCTCGTCCCCTACCCTGGGAGAGAGGGGCCCAGGACAGACTGTCAATCCGCCTTTATTGGAGCAGAGCCCACCCGCCTGCCCGCTGCCCTCGACTCAGACGATCATCTCCAGCTGCCGGGCGTACTCGATGACCTGCTCGGCCAGCTCCGTGGACGGGATGGTGGTGTCCTCGGGCTTCTGCTGCTGGCTGGCAAAGCTGTAGTAGTTGCTGGGGCCCAGGACCCACCCTCGCTGTGTGAAAAGGAAGGAGAGGTGAGTGGGGTGATCCCAAAGGCCCCCTTGCCACTCAGGGGGCCCTGGCTTTCTTTAGCAAGTCCTCTCCACGCGCGCCACTCCACCGAGTGGGGGGCCCCTAAGCACACCCAGTCTCCAGCCGGCGCCGAGATTCCATCAATATCTTCAAAGGGCTAAGTGCAGCGCTGTGGCCCAGCAAGCAATGGATCAATGCCAGCGATTACCATCACTGTCCCCATTTTGCCCCCTCAGTCTATTCTGGTCCCGTACCCCTGGACACCAAGGTGTCAGCACCCGGGCAACAGCACCTCCAGGGGAGCCACTCCTAGTCAAAGGTCTTAGACCAAATGAGGCAGAGTCTTGTGGGAAATGCAGCTGCCAAGGGGCTCTGATGTGCCACAGCCCATGTGGCATGCTAGCGGGCCTCAGTCCACAGCCTAGCCCTGTTCTATAGGTGAGCGCTCAGAGAGGTTCATCGACATCAGCCTGGGAGGTCCAGTTCCAGTGTTCCTCCAGGATACCCCACTCTACAGTTAATGCAAGGATCCTGTGGCCCCCACACCCATGCCTACCTTCTTGGCGTAGTCTGTCATCTTCTTGGGCGTGTTGAAGAAGAGGACTCGGGTGGCCTCGCTGAAGAGGATCTTCTCATAAGCCTTCTCTATGCAGCCGGCGATCTCATCCCTGGGGAAGACAGAGGGTCTTGTGGCTGCACCCAGCCCACCGTTTTCAGGCTGGTCTTCCCAGGCCTGATTCATGGGCACTGCCCTGTAGTACTGACCAGTCAGCACATCAGCGGGGCCCCACTCAGCTTGCTCTGCCTCCCCAACCCAATCTCAGAAACCTGTTCCCACATGTCTGGATCCCAGCTCGGGGTCAGATGAGGGGCCCTCACTTGCTGAACCCAAAGCTGGAGGTTCAAGTCCACCTAGAGGCGCTTGGGAAGAGATGCCTGCTGCTCATCTGCTCTAACTCACAGCCACCGAGAACCCTGCTGGTTCAGGCTGACTGCAGAGCGTTGGAAAGGGGGACACAGCAGTCTGCGTCCCCATCTTCTGCGACCCAACTGAGGAGCCCAGAGCAAGACGCAGGCCATCCCGGTTCTCAAGGCCAGTCCCAGCTCACAGAAGAGGAGGACCCAGTAGCTAGGCAGTCAGGCCTGCTCCCACCCGCTCCTGTCCCTCAGAGCCCAAGCCCTCCCCAGCCACACGCACCGGATTGTGTCCAGCAGGATGTCAATAAAGAAGGTGTAGCTCTCAGCAGGGATGTTGCCCTTGGCCAGGAAGACCTTGTTGTAACTGCCTTCCATCAGGTACTGCACAGGGAGAAAGGATGAGGCCTGGGCCCTCCGCCAGGCCACCACCACCTCCAGGAAGCCATCCTGGGTTCCTCTCTCCCCCCACCCCCCCAAGCCTGGCCATCTTTTCTCACTGTCTCCCCCCAACACACAGGACCTGCCCTCAAGCTCTAATGCTTGCTGGAGGCACCCGCTCTCTCCCCGGAAGCGCCCCCCACCCCAGCCATTGGAAACTTCCCCTTAGTCTTGAGTCGGAGGCTGCCCTTGACCTGATAGTCTCATCGCTGCCCAGCCCTCCACCTCCTTCCTATTCACTGAGCAGTACCTGACAGGCTCCGCAGGGCAGCGGTCCACTCTGTTCACTGCTAGCTTGCTCAATGGGATGTCAGCCCCAGTCAGGACACTCGGGTTTATCTGCCTTGTCCGAGTCACAGTCCTAAAACTACCCCCAGTGCCAGACTCAACAGGGCTCAGAGCAGTGGTTCTCAACCTCCCTAATGCCACGACCCTTTCATGCAGTTCCTCATGTTGTAGTGACCCCCAACCATCAAATTATTCTCGTTGCTACTTCATACCTGTCATTTGGACACTGTTATGAATCAGGCAACCCCTGTGAAAGGGCCATTTTGGCTTAGACGAATGAGCAGATGGGCCTGGAGAAGATGAGCCCTCTCAGGCCTCTGGGTCCCCTCCCTGAGGCCAGCTCATGCCCCCTGGCCCCAGCTAGGGTCTTACCTGTTCCAGGGACACAGGGTGCTTGATGTAGACATTGGTCTGGATGTCCTTGGCAGGGAGCCGTTCCAGCTCCGTGTGGAACTCTGCCACTCGGTTCTGGGACAGCAGGAAGAGGAGGTTGAGGCCCAGGAGCTGGTGCATATAGGCGGACTCGGGGAGCTGCTCCCTGTGGGCCAGGGCAGGAGGGTCAAGAGGAGGCGTGGGAGCAGCTCTCTTGAGTACCCCACCCAGGTCCTCCAGGGACCAACCCTCCAACAGGGGTTCCAGGGCCCGAGACTGAGGGCCAGAGAGACACACCATAAAGTCACTGCCAAGCAAGGGAAGGGGCCTCACTTCAGTCCACAGCCTCAGTCTCTGCCCACCTGCCTGTGGAATGGGTCTCACCCCGGCATCCACTGCCCAGTGGTAAGTTTACATAAATTAAGTGAATTCGACCATGTAATCCGAGGAAAGCTATTAGCCCTGGACTAGGTCCCCATCTGGGAGAAAGAGCTACAGTCTCAGAAACCCACAGGGCCAGGTCTACCCTGCCCTACAGGGTCACCATGTGCTGCCTTCGACTTGATGGCAGCAGCAAAAGCCCCCGTCAACACTGGAGGGGCATTAGCTAAGGTCCTGATGATATTAGGAACTAGCGTCATCCCCACTTTAAGGGGGAAAGGGGAGGTCCCAGAGGTGAGGTCATTTGCCCAAAGCCACATAACCAGGAAAAGGCAAAGTCCCCCTCAAAACCCAGGTTTGTCTGACTCCCAAGGTCACACTGTTGACCACGGAGCCATGCAGGTGGCACTGGGCTCTCTGTGACACACGCCGGGAGAGGTCCTGCTCTTGGCCTATGCCTCGGCCTTTTGGAGGCTCATAGCCCAGAGGGAGGGACTGGGCCCGGGTGGCAGAGGTGCAGACAGAGGGCAGGCAGGAGTCGGAGGGCCTGATCTTGGGCTGAAGTCCAGGGTCCTGACAGCTTGAGAAAGGGAGCAGTAAGGGCCAGTTTGGGTCCTACCAGATACGTGTGTTTAAGAGAGAGAGAGAGAGAGAGAATCACGTGGCCAGAGCAGGTGAATGGTCATGGTGGGTCCAGGAGGGAGTGGGGATGCATAGGAACAGAGAGGGGTAAACAGTTTGAAGTCCTGTAACACCACCAGCTCCATGGCCTCCAGGTTAGTTCCCTGACCCCACAGCTTCAGGGTCGGGGGTGGGGGTGGGGTGGGGGAGAAGAACTATAGGCAGAGGCAGCAGGGAGTCCCTGGAGCACCAGGGGATTCAGAGCTGACACCTAACCACCCCCAAGCCCCCGACAGGCAGGCCCCTCCCTCACTTGTAATCAAAGTAGTAGCACTTGAGCTGGGCCATGTAGCGCTCAAAGGAGGGGATGTCCTTGCGCAGGATGCTCCACTGGGCCCCGATCTCCAGAATGTCACCTGTGGGTGACAGGGTGAGCTCTCAGGGGGTGACTTCGGCTCCTCCCCACCACCTCGCCTGTTGTCACTCGGGCCATAAGCCCCAGCCCACCTGCCCCGCTGACACTCACGGGCCAGAATGAGCTGCTGTTTGGTCAGCTTGGTCCCTGTGGTGGGCAGGAAGTTGAGCTCCAGCAAAACCAGCTGTCGGGGAGGGACAAGAAGGAAGGATGACGGGACCGGCCTTCTGTAGGCCTCCGCTTGTCCACTCGGGACAGTGGCGCCTGTCCTGGTCCCTGACGCAGCTGGTTGTCAGGGAAGCGTTACGGGGGCAGAGCCCATCATTAGAGGCCTCTGGGGTCTGAGCCATGGGAACCATGATGGCGAGAGACACCAGTGCCATCAGTTCAGGGTGGCACGGCCTTCCCGAGCCACCCTCACTCCCAAACCTACACAAGGGAGGGAGGACCATGAAGCTCCCCAGCATGGGGCCCAACCCAAACCACTCAAGCTATCTGACGCACACCCTCAGCGACCTGGTCAAGCAGGATCCATCCCAAGCTTCCCCGGTGTCACTGTGGTTACGCGATGGGCTCTTCCCTAGGTCAGCGGTTCCAATCCACCAGCGGCTCCAGGAGAGTAAAATGAAGCTTGCTACCTCCCTGTGAGGAGTTACTGTCTCGGAGACCCCAGGGGCAGTTCTACCTTGTCCCAGAATGGACTGGGTGGCCGGGAGCTTGGTTTCCATGTCTACTCAACAACAGAGCCGGGTCAGAGCCCTCTGACCTCAACTGGGACTGGGCTTTCCCAGGCAGCCCCACACTCCTGCTGCCTCCTTTTTCCTCACAGGCATCCCTTTACTAAGTCTTAGCGCAAAAAACCGGCCACTCGGAGGCGGGGGACCACCAGCATGCAGTCCCACTGCTGTCCCACCACCTGGTCCGCCCCTTTCCCCACGAGGTCTCGTTGGCACCTCAGTCTGTCCCTGGATCCCTCCAAGCTTCGAAACGCCTTTCAGACAGCCGGGTCGGGCTCCCCTTCCCTACGGGTTTTCCTCCCCCAAATGGGCTGGATTTTAATTCCAGGTCGACTTAGGACTTACGTACTCCCCTTTTAACAAGCTCCATCCCGCCGCCCCTTTGGCCGGCCGGCCGGGGCCCCCAGCACCGGTTTTTCAAGCCCTCACTCGGTTAAGCCAGCACCCCCCTGGGTCCCCACGGAGGGCCCGCGTTTAGGCCGTTCCAGGACGCTCGTTCCTCGAGCCTGCCAGTGCCACGTGTGGTCCGTTCCAAGCCCCTCGCCCCATGGGCTCGCCCGGCCCGCCGGGGTCCCGCTTGCCCGGCCGGGCCGGACCCCGAGCGCGCGTGGGCCGC